CAGGGACCGTGACAGGATTCACCAGATACAGAGTGGAGAGCAAAACAGGCTGACTGATGAACACACTGCCGAAGGGTGCAGCGGCCTGGTCAGTAGAGGTCTGCCTCACCATGTGGGTCACCTCCAGGGCGGGGATCCAACTCATGCCGAAGTGGCATTAGCTTCTGAGTGCTGTGCTCTAACCCGCTGTGCCACCAGAGAGGGCCCTGTATTGTTGTATATTGCTGCATTTTGTCCTATTCAGTTTGTTATATCATGCTTTTTTTTTTTCTGCTCTTCTTCCTAGTTATATTTCTTTGAGCATTAAGTAATGTGATTAAATACTTTTCTGATTTTAATATTTCAGTTAATCAACATGAAACATGATGTTAGGAATATTGATCATGCCAGCTGTAAAACATCATAAATTACAAAAACTGATGGTGAAGTTAAAAATAAAACATTTGGAGGGATATTGTATGAGAACATGGGATATTTTCTGTACTTTCATTTTAGTTATTTATTATATGCCAAATAAGAGTCAGGTGCCAGTGCCAATTTAAGTAGAATATGATGGAATAGCATTCTCATAGCTATTCCATGTAACTAGGAAGAAGAATCAGGAAAAAAATAGTGATAGCATATATATCAGATATTGATTATCTTAATTTTGTTTCAAAATATTAGAATTACTAAGAAAAGCTGTACAGCTATGTTGTACATTATTTTATTAGGATAATCCCTTCCATGTCTTTTACTTTTAGATGAAAAAGTGGCTCAGACTGATTTTACAGCAGTTATTTTTAATAATAATGTTAATCCCTCTCTAATTTCATCTGTCTATACACAACCTAAAATGTGTATATTAAATTGCTTTCATTATTTTAATATTATTACAGATAACTGTTGCTTTGTACAATATCATTAAACCTTAATTTTTCTCCTGGAATTATGTATTTAGGCAGCTAAATATAATATTATTTAAGGATTTAGAAGAAAATTTACTTTGGGTTTAATTATATTTGTATAAGAAATTTGTCTGATAAAAATCTATGTTTTGTCCCATTTATTTTAGCTTCAAGAAAAACTGACTAAAGAAGATAAAGAAAAAAGAAAACTAAAGCTTAAGCTGGAACTCCAAGAGAAAGCAACTGAAGCTCAAATTGCTGAAAAAACAGCAGGTACAGTAGATGAGCATTAACATATGGCATTAAGACTCTCATACAAGGTTATTTTATGATGTGGCTTGGTGAATGCTAGCATACTAGCTTATTTGCTAAAGGAGGGAAAGCTCTGCTTTTTTTTTTTTTTTTTTGGCTGCTTAGAAAATAGGTGGCTTTAACATCCTGGTACTGGTATTAGTGAGAGCTTTACCTGTATTCATACTGATTTGGGCATTAAATGCATTGTTAACACCATGTCAATCCAATCACAAAAAGGTTGTTTGTTTTGTTGGAAGGGCCTGAACAAACAAGGGGAAATAATGATTACCAGTGCCTCTACCTTTCAACCAGCAGTTCAAATACCACTTATTGTTTTAGCTCATTGAGAGGAAATATCTCTCCTTTGTATGAAAATAGCCATGTATTTATTCCCAGTGGAAACCTATTTGATTTAAATATCTTATAATTAATAAATTTTCATCTGATGATGTGAATGATGATGGAGATAATGTATTCACTCAGAAGATTAAAGGAAAAGGTTGTCAAATTTTAAGACTATAATTGAAATTGACTGCCTTAAATATATTTTGGAGTCCTTTACTCAGTCTCTGCAATGAGATATTTTTTAATATGTTAATGATTTGTTACAGATATGTTCAAATTGAGTCACCATAGGTCTTGAGCACTCCAGAGTGACTTCTTCTTCCTTTTTGTTATATTGAAGAAAACAGAAATTTAATAAAGAAATTAACATTTAGTCATCTTAGAGATCACTAATTTAAATTTTTTTTCTGTCAGTAGGAATGTTTGTAAGAAATAATTGCATTTTGTGATTAGTTTGAATTTTTAATCTACTTACAAGCCAATTAAACTTATTGTGTTTATAAAATAATTCTTATATTTCAGATCAGATACATTGTTAACATATATACAAAGTAGAACTAAACATCACTGAAAATATAACCAAAATATTTCTTTCAGTGGGAACACATAAAAGTAATATTTTTAGCTAAGAGTCTGTTAAGAATGAATAATTCACATATAAATATAGAACAATTTTAAAATTTCTTGTCTTTATAGTCAAAAATATATAATAATTACAAAATTAGTATGATACTAAATTGTCTTAAGGTATTTGTATCATATTTTAACTTGGTGTGGGTGTTACAGAAGTAAATTAATAAGATTTTGGCCATTTTGACTTACTGAAAATCATGAACCAAAATGTGTGCATAACTCATTTATCTCTTAATAAGGGAGAACCATTAAGCAAAAATGTTTACTCCTTACATTTTGCATAATACAACTAATATACTTCAAACATTTATTTATTGGTATATTTAAGGGTTGTCTCTTGACTAATCAGTATAAATCATGCATGCATAAAATGAAATGATTTCATTCTTTCATGAATTTTAATGAAATTTCTCACTAATAATGAGACACTATTTTACTAAATATTAAACAATTGAAAGATGAATATTTAGTGTGTTTTTGTAGTCCTAAATTGATCAAAATAACAGTATTATCTTGTTACTCTGAAACAAACAATATAGTTAAAAGAGGTAATGTACAATCACTTAGTTATAAAAATGACACAAAATGAATGCACCCTAAAATTTTTAAGGTGTAAATTTTCCAAGTGTATTTTTGCTTTAAATGATCTAGTTCAGAAAGTTCTATCTTCTTATAGAAAGTAGTAAGCTAATTTAATTTTAGATTTATTTAAATAATTTTAGAGGCAATTATCATGATATGTCAGTTTTTTAACAACCTTAACTTCTTAAGAAATCTATTGATTTTGAACTGTAAGAAATTTGTTAGCTGATCCTTGGTAAGCTGAACTTTTTCCTATTTTCTCATCATTGCAGGTTTAAATAAGGTTATCGTCTACTTGGTCAGAAATAAATGCAATCAAAAAGCAAAACATAACGAAAACAATGTTAGTTCCTTTATAGAAACAAAAACATTACTGGTCTATCATTATATGGGATAGCTATTTTATTTAATGTCATGAAATAATCCACATGCTCATGGATATTTGTTTCTATCACACTATTTTTACATATAAAATAAAAAGTGTATTGGTCAAATATATTATAAATATGCACATGGTTAATATTATAATTTATGTAAGCAGAATATAAATGTTTAAAAAATAAAAATGTAATAAAAATAGATCTTATGTGATATGTAGTCAAAACTACATTAACTAAAGGGACCCAATTCTCTATGAGGCAGAATGAAGCATTAGGAAGATCAAAAGCACGGCAATCAGATTGTCTCAGGTTCAGTGGCTTTGGCACTCCTTACTAACTGTGTGCCTTTGGATAGGTTATAAACTTCTCCAGGGTGTCTCTCATGTAAGTTAATATTAAGTATGTAGCAGGTTATTTTAAAGATTAAAGATAATGCATGAAAGTACCTCAACTAATAACTGGCTCTCAACAAGTTGTAGCTAATATTAATATTTGATTATTTTTATCTTTATGAAAATTCTTAAACTTTTGAGAGTATCAGAGTCATGAAAAGATTTGTCCTATTTAGCACTTAGTTAAAATTAGTGATTCACTGTTAATAGATTTTACAAGGGGTATAAACAGAAATTTTAAAAGTTGGAAACTGCATTATATAATGAAGAAAATTACTGTTAATATTATCTTTATACAGATACACATATAAATAAATATATATATTTTATAAATATAAATGACATTAATATATTTTACTTAAAATGTGAGTCTAAAATAAAATAAATAGGATAATTTGGACTTTATTTTAATGTATACCAATGATAAACCTTCTTGTAGATTGTTATCAAACTTCAAACCATTTGCTTTGCTTCCTTTTTACCTTCACATGACATATATACTGTCATTTTAATGTAATTGCAGTGTTGAAATTCAGTTTTGTCCCCTCTTATGATGACATCCCAAATGGTTGAACCTCTTTATCATCATCACCACTACCATTGATAATTTTTTATTAGACACTTTATAGGAACTATGTTAACTAACTTCTTAACTTATAAAAAGCATACAATAAATGCTCATTATAAGATTATGATATCACATATTTTTTTCTTCAGACTTCCTGATATTATAGGGAGTCTATTTAAAATGTACCTAATATAAATAACTATCTGTATCTATTTATGTATGCTTTTTTTTAACCAAAAAGTATTACATCTTTTTCTAAAGTATTTTGTATTTTATTTTATTTTTTATTTATATATATTTAGTGTATATATATATATATTATATTTATTATTTTATTTCATCCTATACTTTTTAGTTTTTCTTGATATTTAGATTTAGCATAATTGGCAAATGTTGAAAATAAAAAAATACATGTATATTTAAGCTCTACTAAAGAGAAAATAAGGAAAAAATACATGTTAATATTAGAAAAAATATCTCATGATCCTTTTAGGAATTTTTTTTATCCAGCTGTTTCATTTATGTGTTTTAACTCATAAATTTGAATAATATTATATGAACAATTTTGGTATAGATTACCTTCAAACAACAGGAATATTTTAGAGAATTACATCAAAAGCATTGATTCTTTGTACTTTAGATAATATATCTTAATAAAATAAAAACAAAACACTTAAATTTGTTTTACTTAATTGATTTTGACAGTGAGAAATAATTTTGTATGACTGATCTGCATCAGTTTATTTATTTTTAGGTCAGTGTCAGTGATGTTTGTAACTGAAAAGGAACAACTTAACTTGTTCATTTAAACCTTTTCCTTTAAGACTCTCAGTGGGCATTGTCTAGTGTTTAATGTCTTGATTTTTGCCACCTTGTTGCATTTACAGTATGCAGATTACTACATTTTACATAGAAGAGTCTTTAAACAGTATGTAATGTTATTTTTATGATAATTTAAACCATTTGTATTTCTTTGAAAGCATTATTTTTCTCTTTCTTAAATGCTCACTGTAGAGTCTCTGCTTTATATGTTAGTTATTTTTCTTTCTTGCATGTCATCCATTAAAGATTAGCTGTGGAAGGTTGGAGCATGGAGAGATTATGAATGACAGAACAACTCCCGTAGAATAATAATCAGTTTTTGGTATTTAATGCTGTTTGACTTTTGCAGACACATTTCTTATTAACCTTTGGTACAAAGAGAAATCCAGGTTCCTGATATCTCATGGAGAAGATGAATTTGAGATCCTCTTCCAATTAAACTGAAATAAGGCCAATATTGGGTTTTAGCCAAAGAACTCCTTAGTTCCCAAGTCTTGTGTTTATCTATCTGTCTGTCTGTCTGTCTATATACCTATCTATCTACCTATCTTAGTTATATTTTGCATATAATTCAGTGGTTACATACTTTGTTTAGCTTGCTGTACTGATTCTGCAAGCTTTTCATTTGCTTTTTCTCTTTAAACACACTTTCCTGTGTACTGAAATATTGACTGGTATTTTGTAAATAAATATTATCAGACTCTCCTTATATTTTCTAGGGAGGAGTTTGTGATTTTTCAAACCATCAGAACATGGACTCCCTAAAATGTATAAGCATACAAGTATGTAAATGTAAATTTATAGTAAACAATTATACATATATAAAATCTATCATATAGAAAAGATCTAAGATACTGCTACTGATTAACATAAGTTAAAAATTGTTATATAATAAAGAATGTTGACATTTTTCTTTTCTAATAAAATATATTTTAGATATATTGACCACTTAATTATTATGAACAAAAATAAGTTAGTTATATGTATCAGATTAATAGAAAATAATGTTTGCTTTCAAAAAATACAAATTGTAATTGCATTTACCTGTGTAGATAATGGGCATTCATTCAGTGCGGTAGCCCTTAATTTAATGTTTAAATACCTTAAAAGTATTGTTAGAATGCAGTGTTACATATATCTATATATCCGTTTGTTTGGAAAACAATAGGATTGCAAGAATATATCCACCTATTTCAGATAAAGACTAAAGGCACATTTCTGTGAAATATAATAGTTGGCAACACTGTTAGGCAGAAT